GACTCTGGGGGCTCCCGGAGCCAGCACGGGGCGACACACCAGCGCACCAAGGCCCAGGTGAATGGGCGGCCCGGCGGCACACGTGCAGGTGAGTCCGGCCAGAGGGCGTCGGCTCTGGGCGGGAGGGACGACGCGGGCGCCCGCAGCCCGCTCCGTGCACCCTGCTCCATGCACCCTGCACCCTGCTCCATGCTCCATGCACCCTGCTCCGTGCACCCCGCTATGAGCACCCCTGCTCCATGCACCCTGCTCCGTGCGCCCCTGCCCTGTGCACTCCTGCTCCACCCACTGCAGCTCCGCGCACCCCTGCACCGGGCTGGGGTGGGGGCAGTCTGGGGGAAGGCTGCAGCCTGGGTACCAAGAAGCTAGTTCCTTAACAAAACAGGGGAGGTTTCTGTTTATGCACCCTCCCCTCTGCTTCCAGGAAGCTGTCAGCCTTGAGGGAGAAGACTTACCGGTCTAGGGACCAGCAGGTGGCCTCATGGTTACATCCCTGGACTCCCACATGGTTGGCCACTGTTCCATTCTGGTAACCACTGGACTTGGCAGCTTGAAACACACTGGGTGCGTGTGCGTGCGTGTCCAAGATCCTGGGAGGAGAAGGGATTGCGGCATGGCCATCCCCACCCCAGGGGAGGGGTGATTTCTGGCTTTCTGCCTGTCTCTCCATGAGCACACATATCCTAAACCAAAAAGAAAAAAATCCTCTCTCAAGAAAAGCTGCACCCACCTCCCCAAACGGACCTTTCAGTCACCTTTTAGTTAAAAATGTTCTACTCTTTAAGAGAAAAAGAGAAAGCGAGCTGCCAGGCCTGGGACTCGAACTGCATTCAGCCACTCAGAAGGCCAGCTTAACCACCACGCCACCTGCTGGCCCCTAGTCTTTGACACAGAAGATGTAAAACAGGAACATTCAAACAGGAGGGTGGAGAGAAGAGCACTGGGTGGGTGCAGCCAGGTGTGCTGGCTGACCCGCGTGGGAAGGCTGCAGGTCCGAGTCCAGAATCTCCCACGTGTACCAGGCCTGGCCCGGGGGTGGGGACGGCCTGGTCGGGTGGCTGCCCACGGCCTGCAGTGCCAAGACCCTGTGGGAGGTGCTGTCTCTGCTTCCCTGACTTATAAAAAAAGTAAAACTTTTTTAAAAAGCCATTTTTAAAATAGATGAAAAACATAATGTCGGCCAATGAGGAAATGCAGGCACACTTGCCCAGGCAGCCCAACACACAGGTGACTACTTTTAAAAAGAAAACAAGGGTTGGGAGAATCCACATGCACCATGAGAATTTTTTAAAATTATTTAATTGTATTTTATTTATTTAATTTGATCAGAGAGAGAGAGAGAAAGCGAAAAGGCAACCCACCAGTTCCAGGACTTGAGCCACAGTCAGCCATGTGGGAGTCCAGTGCCTTAACTACCATGCCACCTGCTGGCCCCAGCAGAGGAATATTCCCCAGAACTGAAGACCCTAACTGTCCACACAGCAGGCTGCACAGCAGGTGACCCCCACGAGCCACGTCAGGGAGGACGTTTCAGACCTGCAGAGCACCTGAACCAGGCTTGCACAGGAGCGGGAAGGCCCAGACACACACCTGGCTTCAGACTCCGAGTGGTGCCCGTTAGCGCCCGAGGCTTGAGCACGAGGGGCCTGCCTTCACGGGAACCCTAAGGAGAAGTGAGTGCCGGCCTGGTTGTCAGGCCAGTGTGAGGAGACCTACAGGACCTCAGGAAGGGACGGGGGTGATGGAGCCATGTCCACTGCCGTGACCCAGGAGGGGCACGTCTGTTGAGTCTGGGAGGGGCTCCCTTGAGCACCCCGCGTGTCCGACTGAGCGCTAACGTCTGCACACGTCACAGGGCTCGGCACAAAGATGTGTGACAGGTGAGTGACAAGTGTGAAGGACAGATGGAGGCGTCCTGAAGAGTCGGGCCAAGGCAGGGCAGCCGGACCCCACACGGCCGCCGCGTGGCTCAAGTTCCGTTGGCAGAGTCTTGATAGGCACGTGTGTGCGTGCGTGCCCACGGCCCCGAGGAGAGGGGTTGTGGTGTGGCCGTCCCCAGGGGCTGGGGCTTTCTTGCTCTCCTCCTCTCCAGTGAGCTCATGTGCTCTAGAGCAGAGGGAAAATCATGCAGAAGGACCAGTCTCACTGCCCAGTGCTTAAGGGAGTCAGAGCCCACATGGCCGACCACAGATCAAGCCCGGGTCCCGGTCCCAGCGGCTTGAAAAACGCAGAGCCACGCGTGTGTGTGCCCAAAGCCCTGACAGGATGGAGAGACGGGGAAGGCACTGGTGTGACCACGCCCCGTGGGGGGGGCTTTCCCTTTTCTGTTTCCACGTCTCTCTGGCAAGGGACAGCTCCCCTTGACAATTAAACAAAAGCCCGGCAGGAGAGAGAAGTAGTACGGCCGGGCCTCGCTGTGAAGGGGCACAAGGTGAAATACGAAGCCCCGGCCTGGCCGGACAGCACCACGCGGAGCTGAATGGGGAACTGGACCGCGACGGCCACAGGTGCCGGCACGTGTCCGCAGGAGCGAGGGCGGCAACGCTCTGCCTGTGCCACGGTAGATGGTGCCTAAAGCTGGTAAACCACGACGTGGCAAATACAGCAGCCGAAGTGAGCATGCTGCCTCGGAGCGGGAGATGCGACGCAACTTTATAGAATCCCTGGAAGTGAAGCGCACCACGGGGTGAGAACACTTCTCTTTTTTTCTTATTTTTTTTTTAATAAGAGGGAGCCTGCATACAGGAGGTGGGGAGAGAGAGAAAGAGGGAGAGAGAACCCAACAGGATCACCCCACACTGGACATCATTCCGCCGTGGCCTCCCAGGCAGCAGGACCACAGGCGACCTATTCGGGCGGGTCTGGCCTAGGACCGGCAGCAGTGCCCTCCCACTGGGCCATTTTACTAAAAATAAAAAACAGAAAGAAAGCAGGTGGCACGGTGGAGGTACAGACTCCGGTCTGGTTCACTGATTGAGTACTGGACCTGGTAGCCGGAAACTCATGCCGGGCCGTGTGCACCTGCCCAAAATCCCGAGGAAAGACGAGAAGGGACTGCAGCGTGGCCACCCCCGGGGCGGTTTCTCCCTGTCCTGTCTGTGTGGCCGTGCACATGTAGAAAGCAGCTAAATTAGGCTAGAGAGCAGCCACAATAGTGACAAGTTAAGGGGTCCCTCTGTATTATAAACGCAGGTTAATGCTCTTTACCTGGTATTAGTCATTGATGATGCAGCCCGGGGCAACCGTGAGAAAGTTCCGCATATAAATCAAGCAATGTGTTTACATATAGTGAGATATTTTTAATATATTTAATTTTATTGATCATCACTGTAGTTTCTTAATTTGCTGGAGGGCACATGCACTCACCAGAGAGAGAACATGGGGACACGAGCTGCAGGTCCAGACCATGTGGGAGTCAGCACCGTCCCCGCCACGCCACCTAATGCCCCGGCACTCAGACCTTAATCAGAACCTCGCCCAGCTGGAGAAGACGGAACACACACTTGAACGGCTGACTTCCTGGGGTGCAGGTATGAACAAGCACGTTTTAGGAACACTGTGCAAATACTGGCTTCTTCAAGTAACATTAAAGAAGCTGCGTTTTTAAATGACGTAGGTGTTATGTCAGTATGTATGTTGTCAAATGCACAACGTATCCTATTTGTATGTGAGGCTGTCCTGACCTTAAACACCTCTGGGACCGCTGTGCTTCTGAGGTCAAATGTTGAGGTTTCTGTCCAGCCACCGTGGCACAGGTGGTGTTCTGGCCCCAGTGCTGGCCACAGGTTCAGACCCCAAGCCAGCCGGGAACATGGCAACTCGTGCTCAAGATCCCAGCTGGCTTCCTCTGCCAAGGGCTGGGGAAAGGAGCCTGGCACGGTAGGCCTATGACAGGCGCCTGCTTGTGTCTCCACAGACTTTAAGAAACAAGCTGGCGTAATGGCTATGTCGCTGGACTTCCACATAGTCGACCACGGTTCGAGTCCCAGACCCGGTGGCTTAAACTCACACCGGGCGCATGTGCGTGTGTGCCCAAGATCCCGAGATGAGAATGGAGGAGAAGGCATTGCGGCGTGGCACCCCCCCCCCGGGGTGATTTCTCGCTTTCTGTCTGACAAGCACATGCACCCTACAGCAAAAACCTCTCCAACAACAGAGAAGAAACTGGCATGTCCCCTCCTGCACTCATGGCCCTGCTCTCGAATACCTGCTGACAGTGTTGCCTTCTGACGGTGGCGCTGACAGGGTGCTCAATGGCAGGGCAGCAGGCCCATCAGTGGTGTGTAGTGACAGTGGGGGTGCCCAAGATCCCGAGATGGGAATGGAGGAGAAGGCATTGCGGCGGGGCCCCCCCCCCCCCGGGGTTATTTCTCGCTTTCTGTCTGACAAGCACATGCACCCTACAGCAAAAACCTCTCCAACAACAGAGAAGAAACTGGCATGTCCCCTCCTGCACTCATGGCCCTGCTCTCGAATACCTGCTGACAGTGTTGCCTTCTGACGGTGGCGCTGACAGGGTGCTCAATGGCAGGGCAGCAGGCCCATCAGTGGTGTGTAGTGACAGTGGGCTGGGACCACGGGGAAAGCTGCTCACTCTGCAGGGCCACCAGTGTTTCCAGTGTGTGGTGTCAGGGAGACGGGCACGGGCCCTGACCAGGACCAGCAGCCCCGTTGCAGAGCGTGGTGCTCTCCCGGCTGGCTCCGGGGCACGTCCTGACTGCCACGCTCTACACAGCAGTGTCCTCCCCTGCTGAGGACAGTAATGGTGTTTGCCTCTTCAAAACTGCTGTCACAGCTGGACTTACTCTCTTCTCACCCACCCCGGAAAAATAAATACGCCCTGGGGACCGTGAGGCCAGGCCTGGCTCGCCACCATCCATCCCTTTTAAGTCAGAGAGCCTCCAAGGACTGAAGACGCCGAAGACCGAGCTGTCGACGCCACCGTCCCGCCCGCCTCTGTGGGTCGGCTGCTCTTCCAGGTGACAGCCCTGGACACCACGCAGCGGGGCAGCGTAGGCAGTATGGCCCACCCACCCCTGATATGACAGGGACGCACACGGCTCCTCTAGGGAGATGGTCTCAGCCTTCCAGCAGTCGGCCGCAGACCTCGGCCCCCCTCACGTCAGTCCAAGTCAGAACAAATGAGGCACGCTTTTTTAAAAAATCCCCCCTTTAATCGACTAAAGTAAAGCCATGACATTTCATTTGGTAACCTGCTCAGAACTGTAAAAAAATCACCCGCTTGGCCCAGCCCTTACTGCGCAGGGCAAAACTTCCAGACAATTCTAATCCCATCCGGCCATTGCGAACTGCAGATAACAGAGACAGCATCTTCAGTGTGGAGCACAGCCTGCTCGGTGTGGGGCCTACCAGGCCTGAGCTGCACGTTCACGTCCTCGACAGGCCTCGGTTATCCAGGTCCTTGACCTGCAACGGGGACACGGGTTAGCCTCTGTGATCACCAGAGAGCTATTCCACCGACGGGTCCGGACACAGGTTGGGTCCTGCTGGCCCTACAGCCCCCGCAGGGGCTTGAATAATGGCCTCAGGGTATCAGCGAGGGGCAGAGGAAGGGACCCGACCTGCCCTCTGCAGCCATGGAGTTTCCACTGGGAGAGAAAATGTAGCTCACACACCCACACTTCTCCACCCCCCAGCCCGAGAGCCACAGAACAGGTCAGCCCCGCTGGGGAGGCTTCACTGCGACAGCTGGTGGGTGAGTGTCCTCCGAGAACACACGCAAGTGAGAACAGTAGAACCAGGGGTGAGCTGCAAGCCACTTCCCTGGCACAGCCGTCATTAGAAAGGCCCCTACTTGAACACGAGGCCCTTGCGCGGGGCGCGGGGGGGCTGGCCTGTCACCTTGTATATCCTGACCAGCCAGTGCTCTGTCGTGTACGCTTCCTCCAGGACATCCAGCTCGAAGTCCTTATTCCCGATCTCTGCATTCCGGACCCGGTCAAAGCCTGGCGGACGCTCTGGAAAGGGGTGGAAGGAAGCACTTTGTACAGTCCTGCGGCCACGGGGACCTTCTGTGCACAGCCACAGCCATCCGCGAGCACGGACACCGGCCAGCCAGGTGGCCCTAACTCCAGGCCTGCGTGAGGCCAGCTTGCGGGGCTTCCGGGGCTCAGCTCCGAGGGGGAGGCTGCCTGAGCCCCCGTGCTGGGGGAATGTCCACAGAAGCCATCTAACACACGGACCCTCCTGTGGGTCAGAGCTTACAAACAGCCAAGGCCTGGATCGACTGCGGAAACCCAGAGCAGACAAGGGGGAGATGGAACCTGCTCAAGGACGGCTGTGTGTACCCGGCAGCGTGTGCCCGAGGGAGAGGGAGGCCCTGTCTCACAGCCCACTGTCCCTCTGCAGTCACACCCTGACTGGGACACAGCCGAAAGTCACGGTCAAAGGCACAAGCCGGGGGCCAGGAAGTGGCAAGTGGGGAAGGTGCCAGGCTCCCGCAGGTCCACTGCAATTCAAGCCCCAGATGGACGGCTTGAAAAGTCACCAGGGGTGCATGCCCAAAGTCCAAAGGGGAGAATGGAGAAGGGATAGCAGTGTGGCCATCCTCCCTGGGGGTGACTTCTCACTTTCCCTCTCTGTCTCTGGCAAACACACACGCCTTCTGGCAAAAATATAAAAAATAAAACTGAAAGCACAAATCTGGAGCCAGACTGAGTTTGAACCCCAACTCTGCCAGCAGTCGGGGGGGTGGTGGGGCCTCAGAGCGGCGGCCGACGCACACCGGCCGGCGCGCGCCCAGAACGCCGTCCTACGCAGCCACTCACTGGCCTCGGTGTAGACCTGCCCGAAGCGGTAGTAGCACATCTTGTACATGAGGCAGTTGAGCAGCACCGGGGAGCCCTCCCGGTCCACACGGAACTCCCCAGTGGGTGTGTAGTAGTCGTTCTCCTTGATGTGTCTGCCCGTGTCTGTGCTCCCTCCGATCCGGACCATCCACAGGAACTTGTTGATGTCTGGGGGAAGGAAGGGGGAAATGCAGTGCGACAACTTGAAGCCCGGAACTGGAGAACAGCACGTTTCTACCCCAGTGCCGGGAATGGCTTCCAGCGAGCAGACCCGCACTCGGCACTGCAGACGCGCTCGGGTGTGAGTGCTCCCCAGAGAGAACGTGAGAAATGGCCCCCAGGGGGACAGCCATGCCCAGCCCCTTCCCCTCCATTGCCCTCTCGGGATTGTGGACAAGCATGGACCCATGCCAGCACACGTGACTTGCTTTTTCTTTCTTTTTTCTTGGGAGAGGTTTTTGCTATTGGGCTCGTGCGCTCGCCAGAACGACAGACAGACAGAAAGCGAGAAATCACCCACGGGAGGAGGTGGGGGGTGGCCATGCTGCAGCTCCTTCTCCTCCGTTCTCCTCTCGGGATCTTGGGCACGCGCGCACACGCGCCCGGCCTGAATTTAAGCCACCAGGTCTGGGACTCGAACTGCGGTGTACTACATGGGAGTCCAGCGACATAGCCATTACGCTAACTGCTGGTCCCCACCCCTCATTTTTAATAATTATTTTGTTTAACTTTATTTATTTACTTGCTTTTTACATTTGAACAGAGAGAGACGGAGCAAGAGAGGTTGAGAGGAGAAAGAGTGAGAAAGCAGGCCACCATGTCCGGGACTCGAACCACGGTTGGCCATGTGGGAGCCCAGCATCCTTAACCACCACGCCACCTGCCAGCCCCCAGATGTGATTTTCAAATGACCAGGTCCAGGACTCAAACCGCATAGCCAGCCACAAGGGGTCCAGCACCTTAACCTCCATGCTACCTGCTGGCCCACTATCCTTTTAAACAGACTCGGGGCCAGTAAGTGGCAGGGTGGTTAAGGGTGCTGGACTCCCACATGGCTGACCACAGTTCGAGTCCCAGACCTGGTGGCTTGCTTTCTCACTTTCTCTGTCTCTCTCAACAAATTTAAATGAATAAATAAAGTTAATTTTTAAAAAACGAAACAGACTCAGGAGAGACATTCAGAATAATGACTAAGATGGGCTGAGGTTGCTTTTTGGTGTGTGTGTGTGTGTGTGTGTGTGTGAGGGGGGGGGAGAAAGATGCTATTTTTTAAGTTTTTGCTGTACAGCATATATGCTTGCCAGAGAGAAAGTGAGAAATCACCCGTGGGAGGGAACGGCCACGCTCAGTCCTTCCCCCCTATTCTCCGAGAATCTTGGGCCCGCACACACAGTGCTTTCTCAAGCCACAAAGCTGACCACGTGGGACCCCGTGCCTTCATCCCCACTCCACACCATCTGGCGTGAGCTGCTGTTTTAAGCGTTGCCAGTCCTCCTGGACAGCACCAGCTGGGTGGTGCCACGGCAGCCATCTCGACCTCAGGTCCCTCCTCGCTGTAAAACCTCTCGGGCTTTTTGGAATTCTTACTAATAAAGCCTGATCATTTGACCTTGAGACATGAATTCAGTGTGAAAAAGAATGTGCACCTCTCCCACGTTCCACACAGGCTTTCGTGGATCTAACTGGTGAGTGTTCTGCACTTGCTGGAGAGAGACAGAGACAGAGAGAAAGTGCCCCCCCTCCCCCCGGGACAACCGCACCACAATGCCTTCTCCATCCCCACGGGATTTCACGTACGCATGCACGCATGTGTGCCTGGTGTTCAAGCCACCGGGTCTGAGACTTGACCCACACAGCCATGCACACAGGTCTCTAGGATGCACACAAGCACACGCACACAGGTCTCTAGGATGTCTTCACAGTTACGAAAACTCACAGGTGACTCCACACAACCCGGCAGTGCCGGGCAGCTCTGCGAAGGGGAAGGGCCTGCCTCCCGCCCCTGCGGCCATCATGGCCACACCACTCGCCTATCCAGTGGGCCGCTCTAGTCTGGGCACGCACACTGACCAGAGCGGGAGTGAGAAAGCAAGCTGCGAGTGGCTCGCCCAGGCCAGGCTGGATGGGGTTCGCCATGGCTGGCCGTGGGGAGTCCCACGCGCAGTCACTGCCCTACTCTCTGCCCAACAGCAGCCCCAGGATGGAACTCAAGGTGGGAATATGAGGTGGTCATTAACTGCGAGAAAACCCGCTATCCGCTAAGACCGTAACCGCTGACTGAGGGACTCGGCCGCGACTGACCTGTACGGCCATGATCACAAAGCCGTCTCCTGGGCCTGACCTGAGCCGGTACAGGGACTGCACCACCACCGTGGAGCAGGAACTCCGGCTCCGCAAGCACAAGCCGAAGGAGCACGGGAAAGCACGGAAGGGTCGCTGCTTCCCGGGACTAACGTGAAGGAGGTCTAGGCTGGGGCAGGGCTGCCCTTGCCTGTCGTAACACTCAGAGCTGTTCCACTTCCTAAGGCTTAAGCAAGTGTTCCTTCAGTTCTTTCTAGTGGTTTTGAAGGCAGAGAACTATACCTGGACACTTCTAAAATCCTGGGGCCAGCAGATGGCAGCAGTTACATCGCTGGACTCCCACATGGCCGGCCACAGCTCGAGTCCCAGACCCAGTACCTTGAAAATCATGCCACACATGTGTGCACACGTGCCCAAGATCCTGGGAGGACAAAGTAGATGGGAATGCAGTGTGGCCACCAGCAGGGGTGACTTTTCACTCTCCCTCTCACTGCCTCTCTCAGGTGAGTGCACACACCCTAAGGCAAAAACTTTTAAAAACGGGACCAGCAGTTGGCGTAATGGCTATGTCACGGGACTCCCGTGTAGTCGACCGCGGTTTGAGTGCCGGGCCTGGCAGCTTAAACTCACGCTGGGCCCGTGTGCGTACGTGCCCAAGATCCCAAGAGGAGAACGGAGGGGAAGAGATTGCGGTGTGCCCATCCCCCCGGGGGGTGATTTTTCTGTCTCTCTGTCTCTCTCTGTCTTTGTGGTGAGTGCATGCGCCCTATAGCAAAAAAAACTCTCAAAAAATTTTTTTTCTCAATAACAAAATGCCTTCAGTGAGCTGGCACCACAGCAGTGACTGAGCGCCATGCAGGGGACACACGTGTGCGTGTGCCAGGGTCAGGATCATGACGGGTGAAGAGCTGGAGGAAATGGCCCGCAGTGTGGCCAGACCCCACGGGGGCTCTCTGCTCTTACATGCACGTACGCGTACTCTCTGGCATCGGAAAATAAAAATTGAAAGAAAAAAATTCTTCTTGCCAATGAACAGAGGGAACCTGGTAACACACGCCATTTTATACACACGCATGGACTTACATGTGTGCACGCACACGCATGGACTTACATGCGTGTATGCACACACACATACGCATGGAAAAAATCTTTGGAGAGATTTTTTTGCTACAGGGCATGTGCGCTCACCAGAGAGACAAAGCGAAAAGTCACCCCTGGGGAGATGGCCATGCCACAATCCCTCCTCTCTCCTCTCAGGGATGTGGGCATGCATGCACCCTGTGAGTTTAAGCCGCCGGGTGCAGGACTCAACCACGGTCGTCTGCATGTGAGTCAGCGATGTAACACTACACTATCTGCTGGCCAGTACAGACCATCCCACAGCTGACATGCACTCCTAGGCGCCGCGTGCCGTTTCCTGGTTGTGGGACGGCCCTCACCTTTGGGCAGTTACGACGGGCCACGCCTACACGCAGACTATGCTCGCTTCCTGTTGGCCGACCAAACCCCAAACGCCTACACAGAAGTTGCGCATACTTAGAGACGCCCCGAACAAGAGAAGCAGCATGGGAAGGTGCTCCATCTCGCTCTCCCAGCACCCACAGCGTGGCACATTACCGTCGGACGAGTAGCCGGTGAGGCCTCCGAAGATGACAAGCACATAGCTGACGTCCAGCTCCCGCATGATCTCGTAGGCCTTCTCCTCTGTGGACGCCATTGCCTGGGACAGCACGGGGAAGGTCTCAGGGCGGGCCCGCGTCTCACGGTCGCCTCAGGGAGAGACGTCTCCCACCCGATCTGGCCGAGGACGGACGCCTCCTTGGCCATACCTGCCCTACTCGAGAAATGTGGGTGTTGTTCCACGTGTTGTTGTCCACCAGAATTGTCCGGTTCGCCATAGCCGTAATCTGATAGCCATAATCCCACCAGGACATGACCTTCGCGTCCTGGAAGAGGCAAGGGAGACAGAGGAGTGGGCCTGCTGCCTCTACTGGCCAGGGCCACGCAAGGAGCAGAGGGCGTCTTTGGTCTGCTACGAAGGGCAGGCCTCGACGAAGCAGTTTCCTCGTAAGTGAATGCACGCTGAGGCAGGGAGGAGACCCTGGCACCTAGTCATCCCCTGCACACAAGCCTGCTCTCCATGTTCCACCCCGACTACTTCATACCAACGAGCAGAACAGCGTGGGGGGGGCTGGCACCGGGTGCACTTATTAAATAACCCCCCGCACGGAGGAGTTACAGTGCGTGGGCAAATCCTGGCACGCGGGGGGCCAGGCAGCGCTGGCTCTGAGGTGCCGCCGCCGAGAGCCGCCAAGGCAGGATTCGATCGCAAGGGCACAGACGAAGCCCCGGGCCCTGGCATCGCGGGGATCGCAGTGGGGAGACTCATGCTTTTCTCTGGCTTCCGCCTGAGCGGCCCATTCACTGCTGACCTCGTCTCCTCTCAGAGCCGAGAGCGTCCCCCGTGATGCCAGCACGTGTCCAAGCAATCCGGGTAACTCCCAGGGAGGAAGGAGAAGGGACCCCACTGCTCCTCCAGACAGGAGTCTGCGGTCCCTGTTCTCCATCCGAAGGCCGATGTGACCCCGTCACCTCCCACCCCACGCTCACCTCGGGAGTGTTGTGACGAAGCCAGTAGTAGGCCTCCCGGAAGTCATCGAAGATGATGCGGCTGGCGTCCCCGCCCCGGGCCGACAGCCCGACGGCGGGGGGGGGGGAGG